AGCAGTTATCCCCTCGTTAGGCAGGAACAATAGGCTTGACTGCCACGTCCTCCGTGGGCAACGACTAGTCCTTGTCCTCCCAGAGGCTATTTACAGCCTCTGTGAACCTCAGGTGTGCCGGCTCCGCCCCGGCTCTCTCAGCCGCCCACCTGCGCCGGGACCGCCCCCAGCAGCGATCCCAGGTTTAAAAAAAAACTCCGAGAAAACGCCAGAAAGAGCTTTTTCTTCAGGCGTTTTTTCTGCAGCACCTCTCTCCAGTCGCACTCTTACCTGCTCCGAAGTGGTTCTCCACAGAACACCTTCTCCGTGCTAGCTAAAACTGTTAGTACCTGACCTCAGGTGTCAGAACTAATTCCTCACAGTCAAAAAAGATGCTGACACTTGTGGACTGTTTTGGAGTTTGTTCTGGTTCATAGTTTGTTTTTGGTTTCGGGGGGGACATGTTGTTTTTTTGTCGTTTGCCTCTTCTTTCTTCTTTTTTTTTTTTTTTTAAACAAAGTAGGAATCTGTGTTCTCCTTTGCTGTTTCATTCAAGTCCAGATTCATAAACCCTAGTGGTAACTGAAAACTAACTGAACGATACAGTATACAGAAAAAAACCTATACTAATAGACTCAAAAAAAGTTACTTCCACTTTCCTACCCCAAAGACTTTATTTCTGCTAATATAGCAATCAAATATCATGAAAGAATTTTGATTCCTTTCATCCAAACTATTAAAAGCTATTAGATAACTGTAACATACCTTGTGTTCTATTAGATATGTTACCATTTACCCACACATGAAGTATATCACTATTTTATTTCTCCCTGATGTCAAGGCATAAAGCTATTAAAAAAAAAATTACTGTCATAGATGAGGAGCACCGCTTTCTCACTTTCTCCCAACTCAGGTGTAGCAGTGGAGAGCAGCAGAGAATTCATTTCACCTGAACACCAGAAGATAGTTACATTTGTGATAGACCTAACAGGAGACATTGAATTCAAGAAGAGATTTTTATGAGACAGATTTAGAAGGGGAGGGGGAAACTTTAAACATGTCAAAATAGAGGAAAATACATTTAAAATAGTGAAATAGGTTTCAAGTATTTTTTTCCTCTCAAGCTACTCCTTGTTGGATAGACACTGCAAAGATACTACCTTTAAAAGCTAATAATGCCTATACCAAAACCAATTTACTACCCCTATGCTCCCTGGATTATTCAGATTTTAGCAAAAGCAAACGCTTTGGACAAGTTCACAAAACTCTTACCAGAGTTTTTTTCCTCAGAAAGAAAGGATACTTAAGTATCAGTTCTTAAAATGAGTTCCCATATGGCTTTCAATCCAAAGGTGCACCTGTTTCAGAAATACTTTTAGAACTATTTCTAAAGTTTTCAAAACAAGGCTTGCACACCTCATGTATTTCTGGACTGGACTGCAGTCAGAAGGTGAGCTAGATCCTCTCACCATCCGTCACAACTCTCCCATCAATTTCAAGGATGCATTTAAAGCTTCTTTTTCTTTCTTTTTTTTAAGAGACAAAGTATATCGGTACTTAAGCAAAGGTGAAATGCAGTGATGACAATAGTAGTCTGACATACTATGACATGCTGTACTCATTCTACATTGCAGTTACTTCCATCCCCTATTTTATTCAGTAATTCAATGATAAGAAACATAACCAATCCAAATTAACCTATTATAAAGTTAAACTGCCTTCAGATTCTTCTGTGATGTAACTTCCTCCTAGTACCTTCTTCATCATGTCAGTTTAATTTTCAATAGAAGCTATTAAACATTTCAGCAAATGTAGAGTTAGTTTCTTTATACCTAAGAATTAAAGAACCAAACCAATAGTTCTCTGAACTAAATTAACTTTTAAGTAGACCTTGAACACTTAAAGTTCCAAACAGGAAAATGCAAATATTAAACAAATAATTTAGCAATTTTCTCACTTGCAGTCTCTTCCTCTGTAATGAATGCCATTCTTCGTAAACCAAAATGACATACACACATACCTCTCTATTCTCTAGCTTGCCCCCAAATCCCTCACCTCAGTCGCTGCCTCAGAATAGATTCTATATAAAATCCTCTTTCAGTCTTCCAGTTCAAGTGCTACCAGTCTAAGACTCAATGAGAATAATGCGAAGGCTTAGCAAATACAAATAAGTATGGAATTGAAGCATTGATAATTTTATTCACAAAATAGTTTTATTCATGCAATAAGCATGATTTTCTAGCAGATATATTGGGTTAATCCCTTCTTTAATGATGCCATGTTTGATTAATAGAATTAATACTAAAACTTCCGTTGCATTTTACTAACCATGTTGCTGTTCCTCCTCCCAAATTCTATGGGGATTTATTATCCCAGATATAAAGTACGATAAAGTACTAACCAAATTACAAATAAAACAGTGTGATAGAAATAAGAAGAGCTTTTAAAACATCCTGAAGAGAATTGTCCTGATCTATTTGTCTTAAACATCCACAGATTGTATGGAAAAAAAAGAAAAAAAAGTCTTGGAAATTATTATTTGGAATTTTCAGAAAATAAAGGGATATAAATACTGAGAGGCAAATAAACATCTTACTGCTTAGCTGAAATTATAAGGCTTCACTACACACACACTTACATCACAAATGTAACACATTGGGCAAAATAAGGGGGAGATTTGGGAAGAAACATCAGCTGACTGCAAGTGTTTTGCAAGGTGCTTGTGACAAATGAACTCCTTGAAAGGCCAAGTGGGACAATATCAATCAGAGAAGTAAATTGATATTATAACTTCATACAGGAAGTGCTGTGCCCACTTCTTTCACTTGTATTTCAAGCTGCCTGCAATTGCTAGGAGGTTTGGGTTTTTTTTTTAAAAAAAAAAATAATCATTTGAAGTCCAAGAGGCAGACTGAGTTCTTTTTCCGTAAAGGATCAACATATTTGCCTCAAGAGCAAAAATCAGTGAATTCCTTTAATTAAATCTACAGATAGAAAAAGAATGATTTGTAGCAGTAAATAATCTTCAAGTAGAATTTTGATGATCTGGTATCTGGGAGCTAAAGTAAAGTCGGACTAAGTATAAAGGTAAGTTCACAGCCACAAGTGTAATACAACAGCCTATTTAGATATGTGAATATAGTGTAATCGCCTGAAGTTTTCAATTAAAACTGAAAACTCTGTAAAAATAACCACAACAGTACAATAGAACACCTACACAGCATCTGCTTGATTTAGAAATTACTATTCTATTGACTTGCATTGCAGAGACTAAGAGAACAAGAAGATAACTATTTTTATATAAAATTCAGACAACTAATATATTGCCTTCGAGGTATCATCATTTATATGGGTAGAAGTATTTTTTGCATATGTACCTCATGCCCCACTTTAAGACATTTTTAAACAGTTACTGTAATTTAAAGTGAACAAAAAATAAATACCATTTAAAAGGTTGTTTTAAAAATATTTTTCTTTAATTTGTCATTAAGACAAGAATCACATTTTTAAATATCTGTGAGGTGCTGTAAGCTGGGTACTGGAGACTATATTTACGATACTTTATTAAAAAAATAAGATGTTAGTAAGTGCCTAGTGCCTAGCTACTACACAACAGGTAAAACAAGACAAAATGTTTTAAAATGTTCACTTTTTTTCAAAAACAAAAATACACTAAATGGATTAAGATATATACATGAGAAGTTATCTTGTTAAGTCAGCAAAAAACACATTGAGAGTTTCCAAATACATACATTTAGGAAAAATATCAACAAAATTAGGAATTTAGGAGGAGGAAGGGAATTATATGTAAGGACTAATACGCCTGACAAATTTAGAGTCTTTTCAAATTCCTTTTGCTTTCAGCACTTCCTGGAGGAGCATCTTTTTTGTTCTTCCGTTTTGCACATAAACTATTACATTCTTTTGACCCGTGAAAAGCATGCAGACATAGAATACAAAATTCAAATGCACATGCCTCTCTGCTACATTGTCCCCATTTCTTTACCAATTGATATTTAGCAGGATATTGACACCTTGGGCAGGGTTTTAGAGCTTCATCAGTGAACAGAGTTTTAGCAACCTGTAGCAAGAGGAGGAAGAGAAGAGCTGCTTAGTTCTTGTGAATGAAAGTTTTCTCAGAAACCGTAAGCAAAGAGGGTTTTCTGGGAACCTACTTTTATGTATTCTTCCCGCCTGCTAGTTGAATGGGGAAGAGAACTGCATCTCCTGGGCATAAGTTCAGCGGACACAGGTGGTGTTTGTAAAACAGGAGTTCTCGCCTGAGCTTGAACAGGCCTTAGAGCAGATCTATTGAGAACATTGAGTCTTGTGGCAGCATCTTCATCTTTCAGGAAATACTCCTATTCAATTTTATAATTAAAAAGAAAAAAAAAAGATAAAAAAAAACAAAACAAAAAGGAAGTAAATCAGGGCTTTCTTTCATTTGGGATTTGCAACATCTTTTCGCCTTTTTTGTTTGTTTGTTTTCCCATTAAATAATTATATTTAGTAAGGTAACAAAAGGTAGGAACTATTAAAAACAAAGACCTGTGAGCAGGGGAAGAAGCCAACTGTCTTTTAGCACTGTCTACTGGTCCTCATATTTCTAAATCAAGGCATATCTCAATAGCCAGCATGGAAAAAGCAATCAAATTTTGTCACAATTAAAGCAAGGTTACACTGGAGTGTATGTGTGTACATGGAGGATCTGAAAAAATTATATTGCTATTAATGTTTACTTTTCTAGATACCCCTTAAAAACTTCTGTATGTCCTTCCAATGTTCACAAGTATACTATGAAGAAGCTTAGCCACAAGCAACAAGCAACAGACTTTAGGATCTAAAGTTGTACATCAACTGAGGAAGAGATTCTCAAGAATGTGGAGAGAGGAGGAGGAGAAGGAAAAAAGGAAGTCTCATGTGGTTGAAAGACTAGTACTCAAACTGTAGACAGCCAAAAAGCAATAAAAGCTATTACATTCTCCTGCCAAAATCCTTCACATACTAATGTTGGAAACCTCTATGAGTTACCTTTCCATAGCTTTACAAGATCTTTCATCTCACTCATCTTCTTTCATGTTTGACAAAAAGTACCTTTGAGACGAATCTTACCCCAGCTTCTTCTTTCAAGTGTTTTAAGTAAAACTTTCTCCTCTCGTGTGCACTTTTGTCTTGTACAATGATTTCGCGCCAGTTTTTGCTAACTTTCCAAATGCTGGAACAAATTAATGAAAAAAGAAAACCCAAACACTATGCACTTTTGCGCTTTTGCCAAACGGTAGAGAAGTCATGACAGTAAGATAACCTTTTAAAGATTTTTGTATGATATTGTATACTATTGGCAATTTTACAGGCTACGGCTATATACTCGTTCACAGTATTGCGCAGATCTCAGGTAGTCTTACACAGCACTGTAGAGTAATAGAAGAATCTAGAGAATAACTGACACCCAAAAAACACAGCATATCTTCGACTTACAAAATTATGGAAGTTCCTTCCACAAAAGCTACTTACCAAGTTTGCTTCCAAACTCACACTTCTATGCCCTTATACTTCCACCCACTATCACATTCCCTTTGTAACTAATAACACACATAGCACTCTTGATTTCTTTGAAGTAAATTACAGTATCTATTGATAAAAAATTAATCTAGAACACTACTCATTAATCTTCTTTTTGCATCTTTGTGCTTAAAATAACTGAGGAAATTAAACACACAAGAAAAAAAGTCTAGAAAACATGTTTTGAGTACTGTGCATTATAGGGGAAATTGTAATGAAAATATATTACTTTCTAGCCTTAAAAAAAATAATATATTTTAAACTCTGCAGGTGCTGTTAGTTTTAAGTCTAATAATGTTTGGCTTTGTTTATTTTGGGTTTGGGTTTTTTTTTAATTTTCCCATACAATATGTTTTTAGAAGTACACAGAAAGAGCCACTTGGTTAATGGTGACAAAACTTTTTAATTTCCTCACAAACAAATTATGTTGACAACATGCACTATTCCAGAAGTTATTCTAATTTATTTGCAGAAATGTGTATTTTGCCCTTTGGGGGAGGAAGGGAGAAGAAAGACAGTAGCACTTACCTGCACAGACTTTCAACTGTCAAAGCATCTAAAACTATAGAAAGAACATGTTTTAAATTTCTGTGTTTTAATTCTGTTAAAATATCTAATTTTTCAAGGCCCATTTTCTTGCCAATAAGTCCAGCAAGAATATGTTCTAACGCAAGTATTTCTGTTCCTTCAATATTCTCCAATTTTTTATTTGGGTCTGATTTTTGTCTTTGCAAGCAAATTTCCTGAACTACTTTCAGAGCTGGAGTTCTTGAGAGAGCTCTGTGACTTACAGCTATGCCTCCACTAGACTGTTCTTTTAAAACTAGTGCACGATCTTCACTGACAAAGTTTCTTTCTTCTTCTGTCACCATATGTGCTAAAGCAGTACTGCCATGACGATCCTCCGTCTCTGACGGTGAGCCCTGTTCCCGAAGAGTGGATAACCTTCTAACTCGTTCAAGTTTTCTTGTCTTTCTTTTACTATCCAGAATTCTTGAACCTTCTTTACGTCTTAGGAAGAGCTCTTGGAAAGATCCGTCATGATCAGAAAACGAGTTTCCCGATTTGTCCAAATGAAGCGAATTATAGCCACTATCCTCAGGTGTCGAAAGATCTGGGTCACTTGCCAGCTTAACAGGGAGGGAGCTTATATCACATAGTTCAAAGTTGAAGTTCTCTGTCAGGCTGTTGACAGAAGGCAGGAACGTACCCTCAGTGGGCTCAGGTAACATACTGTAAGTAGGAGTCCTAAGCAAGCCATCACTCACATTCATGAGGACACTTTCACTGAATTCATTAGCATCACTAACAAGGACATCTTTACTCTGAATTGGAGATAAACGTTCTGGTTCTAGCAACAAGGGGTCCTTACCTTTGGACTCATCTAAAGTAGAAGTCCTTTGCTGTGAAAAAGAAAGTCTCCGTTTTGGGCAATCAGGATTAGAGTCTTCAGGTTTTGAAATGCTAGTTGTCAGAGGTTTGTAATCATGATCTTTTGCAAAACCTGAAGCTGTTTGTGGAAGCTTTTCTTCAAAGCTCAAAGCACAAGAGAATAACTTTTTTCTGCTGCCTCCTGAAGAACTAGCTTGTTTTTCATAGCATCCTACAGTTGTGCCAGCTGGAACAGTTTTAGGTAAAAGCAGCCTCCTGCGTAGTGAGGAACTTTTTCTACTCACTTTGGGAGTTTCAAAAAAATCTGCACTTCTGTTTGCTTCTCTTCTTTCTGATAAGGAGATAGAATTCATTTCTTTTTCAATAGATGGTGACACAGAAGAGAGGGCATTTGGATGAATGTGTTCCGAATGCTCTTGTAGCAGTGATGAACTTGTTACGCTCGGTGCTTCTTTATGTTCTGCACCAGGATCTCTTACTGGCTCATTGCATCCGCTGTCCAAAAATACTGAAGTGCAGCACATGTCTTTAAAATCGGAGTATTTAAAATCACTGCTGGGAGATGTTAATCTATTTCTTTTAACAATATTGAACATTACTGAATGACTGTCTGACATCCTCTGCGTGGCAGTTTGACTTTGTCAATGAAGGTACCAGTGTTATTTCTGAAACAAATGATAAAAGTAGTCACCCAAACACCCTCAGATTAGTCAGAAAGCCTTGTGTAAGCCTATCAAGCCAGCCACCATGGCAAAAATATTTTTACCAGTCTTAGTAGAAACAGTGCTTACAGGTGAACACAATCAAGTGAATTGTTACAATGAGTGATTAAAATGCATAGTATACCAGAAGTGAGGCAAACTAAAACAGACATCCAGTTAGCTAATTGATCTGCTATCTTCATCCAAGGGAAAACACTTCAAATAAGCAACACAGCAACTAGTATCATTTGTGCTGAAATCCGTGATGAAATTCCCTCTCCCTCAATAGGACCAAGACTTTTATTACTACTGTGCAATCGGTTCATCCAATCACTGACAGTTCTGTCCTCAAGGGCTAACAGAAGCTCTGTTAATACACAGGTTTAGTCAAAAGACATTTTCTCCTTAAGAAAAATGAGAGGATTAATGCTGAAGTCACAAGTCTACAGGTTTGCCTATTGGTTAGATCCCTACAGTCCCTGGAGAAAATAAAATCTAAGTCTAGTTACAAAGTGAGTAGTGTATTCTTATCTGCCATAACATTTAAATGTTATTTTGTAAAGAAGCTCTCTGCTTTTGCTCAGCAGTGTGGGTAAACTCAGTGTTCTGAAGTTTTACACTCAAAAACTGACCAGATGGACACATCCTCTCACCATGTGCATAGGGAGGAAGTTTCTTTTAAACTTAGTAAGTATAAAAGCATTTAAGAGCTACTTTATATTTTCCTAGAGAAGGTACAAGTGGCTGATACACCTGTATAAGAGATCTAAGAACACAGACTTTCTTTTTTGCCATTCATCACAGAAAAATTTCTCCACCTTAACCACAGTGGCAATAGGTCACTGCTTTCTACACACAAGACAGGTTAACTGTGTAAAAGATGTTGTAAGTAGCACTAATAGGAAGGTTGTTCTCACAGAAGTCATAGTAATTCCCATCAACTTTGCAAGACTTTCAAAGTTTGCGTGAGCCCTTCTTACTGGGATATGTTACCGGCCTCTAGAAACAGTATTTTGGAACTTAAAGCCTGGAAGTCGTGATTAAATTTCCAGAACAGACAAATAGGAATCCTTAGAGGTGGCTTAAACAACAAATACTACGACTCTGCTAATATCCCAACAGTCCTGAGTTAAGCTCTAAGCCACCAAATACAAGCAGCGGGAAACCAAACTGCAGGGCAACAGGGACTATTCTTTGATGACCTTGGGTCACTTAATTAGCATTTTTTAACCCATACTGAAGGCATTTTACAAGATCATTGCAATATTGAAAGTGTGCAGCAACATACAGAAGTTCAAAAGGAACAGGATATTAAACAGCAGACTGAATTTGGCATAAAGGCCTATAGAATCATGCTAACATCAGTACGTATGAAATAAAACAGATTTAAAACACACACAAGAAAAAAACTCTATTCCCATAACTGAGAAGTATTCTTCCAAGAAAGAAAGATATGTGAAAATAATTCTATGCTGCTTCCTTTCCCAACTCACCTCTGCAAGTACCTTTCTTTCTTTTTTTTTTCCCCATTTGCTGCTTTTTCTTCACTCCCTGTTTTTACTTGGTGAAATAAACGTCAGCACAAATAGGAAGCCTAAGGGCATAGCTTTAAGTGAGTTAGTGCATGAATCAGGGAATAACTTCCTTGACGTTGCAGGACCAATTCCAAGCAGTACCTAGTGTTTCATCTGCATCACTTTTTAACATTTTAGGCAGCAGGCTGTACCATGAGCCAGAAAACAATTTTTAAAAGATAGGGAAAAGAGATGAAGAATCTGTGTAGTGCATTCCTAATTATTCACACTCTAAGCAGAGGTCCACCTCAGCATAGTTTATTTTGTAAGAGGAGGAAGACCTATAATAAACATGCAGTAACAATAGGACATAATATTTGTGTAATCTTAAAAAAGAATAGAGGTTTTGTTTTGTATGAATTTTGGTGAACCGCAGTTAGTTAGCAAACACTGACAGAAGATATTCCTACTAAAAAACACTGATGGACAGAGATTTAAACTTTGCTATCTAGATGCTACCTAGAGACAGCTATTCAAAATCTCAATCCCACTGGGAAAAAAAAAAGTCACATATCCTCACTTACCTTTTAAAATATTTGTGTTTTCCTTAGCACGATGAAACTAACCACACATTTAACAGAAGCATACAAGCTTTCAGGTTTAGAAACTTAATGTGAAGAAAAAAAACAAAAAGAAAACTCACACTTTCAGTATCATTCTCAGACATCCATGGGAGAAATTATCTTACGAAAAACTAAGAGTAGAGTAAAGCCAAAATATTACAGTATAAAATAATTTAAGCAAACCTGTGTTTCAGGTAGCATAAAAATCATGGCAAAAATAAGGTTTTGCAGCTGTAGGGGAGATCAGAATAGCAGAGTTGAAGAACAGTTGGTAACTCAAAACAAAAAATATGTTGTAAATATGCTAACATCCAGCAGGAGGAGCCTGTGAGTTTACTATGGTGATGAGAAAGTTAACAGGGGAGACACTGCAGCACAGACACTGAGTGAACGATGTCCATTATACATCTTCAGAGCAAATCCCAGAGTACATCTCAGGTTTGTATACACTTTTTTTTCCCAAAAAAACCGTATTACTTGTACAAATTAAGATTTCATTTAAAACAAGGTCTTATTTTACAAATACAGTATAGAAGGGAAAGCCTTTTAGAGGTGCTGGATGTCTCTCAGAACAAAATGCTAGTTACATTGATGAGATGCTTAATAAAACCTCTTTTGACTTGTGTAGTTTTTATAAGCACTTTTTTTTTAATCAGGAGAAAATCTTCATTTACTAGATTTGATATGTAACATCAAGCTCTTTTAATTTGAAGTAATTTCTGGAAGCATTCTTAACCTTGTTCTAGACCTCACAAAACAGACATGCAGGGAAGAAAAGGTTAGTCACACAGCGAATCAATTACAGAGCAAGGAAAATCCATACCTGTTAAGTGTAGTTCTTATGGTCTGTATATTTCTTATATCTATTATTGATTTTGTAGTTCTCGAATTGATATACAAGTCAACAGCAAATTTTCTGGAAGTTTATGGAACAAAACACTTCATATTCAGAGACTCAAACTAAATGAAGAACAGAATTCAGATATTTAGACAAGGAATAGTTTCTGATGAGGTTAGTCTCACAAAGTGCCCAAAGAGGTAAAAATGTTGGCTCCTAAAGGGCAATGTAAACGGTGCCTATAGCTTAGACAGGAGTTCTAAGACGGAGTCACACCTGTTCTAATACTAATTTACATTCTCTAGTAACACACCCTGAACATTTATGCCTCGGATGAGATGTTTTCTCTCCTTATTTGTCACCATTCACCGTTGCTAACAGAACAGGTAAAGGCAAAGTTTTGGTGATACAAGCATATTTTCTCTGTTATTTAAACAGGTGTATCTGTAGTCAAAATGAGTATCTCGAGACTCTGCTCTTTGAGCATCCGGATGTAAAAAAAAACCAAAAAAAAAGAAGAAGACAATAATACCTTCAAAGGTATTGATATTGAAGATGGCAAAGTTAATTCCTGTCTGTGAGGTGTGGGTCACTTACCCTACGTTGTGAAGCACTTCGAGATCTTCCAAAGCAAAGGTGCTGTACTCAAAGTATTGTTTACCCCTAGCGATAACCTAAAGCGAGAAAGGACGTGGAGAGAAAGAGAGAGAGGAGTAAGAGGAACATTACCCACTTCTCAGTGCATCTGTACGTGCGTTCACGGCAGTAATTATATAATGAAGATAATTGACGGCTACCTAGGAACCAGCACCCAAGGGTCTCTCGATCACCTGGGGTGCCGGCCACGGCCAAAGCAACCGCTTCGCCCCCTCCCCTGCCGAGTCGCAGGGCGCTAGATGCAGAGCCTAGCGGCCCCTCCGCCACCGAGGCAGGCGGCGAGGCGTCCCTGAGAAGGGGCGAAGGCGAGGAACGCCCCCCTCACACACACACGGCCCGGCCGGTTGGAGAGAACGGGAGAAGCCTGCCGGCTCAGCAGCTCGCCGCCCGGCTCTGGGGCCCGTTGCCCCTAGTGAGGATCCGCTTCGCTTCCCTCCTCCCACACTGGCTTCTCGCGTACGGCGGCTTTCCCTCGCTTGGATTTGAACTACCCGCCCTCACCAACGGCCGCGGCCCTGCCTCCTTCGCCCCCTCCGCTCTGCGGCCCTCGGGGAGCGGCGCCGCCC